GAATTTCTGTTTACGTTCTCACAAAGTGACTGGCTAAATAATTCCAGATGATGGAATTTTCTTCTGTCCTTAAAGCAAAACAAAATCTTAACCTTCACCACTCTGTAAATGATGTTAAGACTGTGATAAGAAATCTTTATTTCAACATTCAAAAAGCAGCGAATAAGAACATAAAGTTGGAAAAACAACCCTAACTCTGCCGCTATGTCCATGTACAATACAGTCTTGGATTGTATGTTCATATGGTCTTTCTTTGGGATGTCTTCTATTTTCCCTGCAGTTTTTAGGTAACAGCTGTAGCAGTTTCAGGTAACAGCTGTAACAGCTTTTAACATGTTACGTCTCTATAAATTCCTGAAAACTAGTTATACAGAAAGGGCACTATAAGCCTGTAACTAACAACATGTAACACCTATATCAGTGAATTCTGAAAAAATGGGAAGTTGTGATGTTCACCCACTGCTAGGCCAAATATTTTTGTAGCCAATTTTCAGCCTGAGAATATGAAGTCACCTTTGTGTCTTTTTCTTTACAGAATGCTGTAAAGAGGAAGCCTTTTAGCTTCCTTTTTGTTAGCTTGGCAGATGAGCTGTTTACCACAGTTTTTCACATGAAAAGAAACTGAGGATAAAACAACTTAAATAAAAGAAAAATATTCTATGTGAAATTTTTGATTTTGATAAAAAAGGTCTATTTTCCAAATGAAACAAAATGTCATTGTAAGTACAGCTATAATGATTAACGATTACAGGTGTACTTGCTTCTGGTTTTGCACAGGAGCACAGACTGGAAGGTACATATGTTACTCCTCATACCATATAGTGTCTAGAATTTTATAATTTCAGACAGCTTTTCAAAAGGAATGCAACCTTTTTTTTTTTTTTAAAAAAAAAAAAAAGAAAGAATGTCAATTTAAAGTGAAATGCCATTGCACAATTTCAGCTGGAAATGGAAAATGTCATGTCAACATACTTCATCACGGTGATGTACCTGAGTGAAAATATTTAGGCATTTTTTACACAACCAAAAATCTACACACTAACTTCTATATGTTTAAATATCCCTGTGAGACTTTTTTCCATATATCTCAATTATATATATTTTTATATATCTCAATTTTATATATATATATATATCTGCTAGTCAAACTAAAGGGCAAGGATGAGATGCACAGGCAGGGAAGCAGGGACAGGTATCCTGGGAAAAGTATAGGGACGTTGCCCGGTTGTGTAGGGATGGGGTCAGGAAGGCCAAGGTGCAGTTGGAACTGAACTTGGCAAGGGACACAAAGACTAAGAAGGGCTTCTACAGGTATGTCAGCCATAAAAGGAAGGTCAGAGAAAGTGTACCCCCACTGATGAGCAAGACTGGTGAACTGGTAACAACAGACAAGGAGAAGGCTGAGGTACTCAACAACATTTTTGCCTCGGTCTTCACTGGCAACGTCTCTCCCTACACCTCTTGAGTGGATGGACCTCAAGGCAGGGCCTAGGGGAGCAAAGCTGTAAGAGAAGATCAGGTTTGTGACCACCTGAGGGACCTGAATGTACAGAATTCTATGTGACCTGATGAGATGCATCCCAAAGTCCTGAGGGAATTGGCTGATGTAGTTGTCAAAGCACCCTCTGTCATGTTTGAAAAGTCATGGCAAAAGACATGAACTGGCAATTTCTGCTTGCAGCGCAGAAAGCCAACCGCATCCTGGGCTGCATCAAAAGAATCATGACCAGCAGGTGGAGAGAGGTGATTTTCTGCCTCTACTCCATTCTTGTGAGACCCCACCTGGAGTACAGCGTCCAGCTCTGGGGCCCTCAGCACACAAAAGATGTGGACCTGTTGGAGTGAGTCCAGAAGAGGGCCATAAAAATGATCAGAGGGCTGGAACACCTCTCCTATGAGGACAGGCTGAGAGACTTGGGGTTGGCTAGCCTGGAGAAGAGAAGGCTCTGTTGAGACCTTATTGCAGCCTTTCAGTACTTAAAGGGGCCGTAGAGGAAAGATGGGCACAAACTTTTTAGCAGGGCCTGTTACAATAGAAAAAGAGGTAATGGTTTTAAACTAAAGGAGAGTAGATTTAGACTAGATATAAGCAAGAAATTGTTTACAATGAGGGTGGCGAGACACTGGGACGGGTTGCCCAGAGAGGTGGTAGATGCCCCATTCCTGGAAACACTCAAGGTCAAGTTAGATGGGGCCCTGAGCAATCTGATCTAGTGGAAAATGTCCCTTCTCATTGCAGGGGGGATGGACACCTTTAAAGGTCCCTTCCAACCCAAACTATTCTATGATTCTATGATTCTATATATGGCATATATACTTGAAAAAGATACGTGTATACTTCTCATAGGTATGTCAGGAGATACTGGCGTGTGCAAAAAGGCTGGTGTTCTCTGCAGTCCTGCTTCCAATGCCTACACACTTGCTTTGCCAGTATGACTATTAACAACTGTACATGTTTGTTTTTTTTCTCAAAAGATGGGTCACATTTACAGCCATGATCTCTCTTTTTACTAACAAATATGTGATAACAGTATTTTTTTCTTCTTTCAAAGTTTTGTTACCAAAGCCCACTATATTTCTTTGCCAGGGAAGTATGAGCACAATTTTAAAAGATTGAGAAAGCGTTAATACTTTTTGTATTGTGCTGTGCTTAGCCTTAAGAAGGTACAGACGTCTTCCTTTTCTCACATTTTTCCCTGCTTCTTTCCAGCTTTTTCAGAGTGTTTTCATGAGGCAGACTCTATGTCATCCAATTATTTCCTGAAGAAAACTAGAGAGATAAGCCTTTGAAAACTGAGCCAGGACTCCAAATTTCTCTCACTGTATTAAATCATACAGATCAAAACCATAGAAAGATATAGAAGCACAAAATTAACAGTGGGACAGAGAGAGAGGGAAACAGGGATCCCTGGACGTAATATTACATGAGATGAGACCGTCCAATATCAAGTAAATTTATTTGGACAGAGGGGGAATTACTGGGTGTGTAATACTGATTAACTATGTTGGAGAGAGACCTTGCCAAGCAGCGTGTTTTGGTCAGCCTCTTTATAAAGAATAGGAATGTAGGTAAAAGGTTAAATATAAAAAAAAAAAAAAAAAGTGCATCACTCCTCCTGTTAGCTAATCCTTGGGCATCATCTGCATGAACCAGAGTAGTACAGTTCACTTCTGGGAAGGAGTCTATCCCAGCTCCCATGACCGAGAGATTTCTCTCTTATCCTGCTAAAATCTTTGGAGGGATATTTATTGACATGAATGAGACTGTGCATAAATGTATCTGAGATCCTAAGTGTTTAGAGTTGTTTAAGCTCCTTATATTGCAAAGACATAGTATTTTTTTAATGCCATAGCCACTGAAAAACATTTGCTTGAGGAAAATACACCAGGTCATGGGTCAGACTCCAGGGAAAAAAAATTATCTTATAAATCTACAGTCACATCATTTTTCCTTTCCTACTTAGGCACATGGACAATAGTTTGAAACCCAAAAAAGGCTTTTAAAAATGTCTAATACACAGAGCATCCCTAATTACATTTCTTCCCAGCGTGAGACTTTGTATGTCTCTTCAGCCTGACAAGTCCCGACTCCCAGCTTGGATGAACTCTGGAAGAGTTTCTCACTGCTATGCACTCCTCTCACAAAAGTGTTTGAGCAAGCTATAAAGCAATACACAAATCATCAAGCACACTGGTGGGGAGGACTTGTAATTTCAGGCTGTTTGGGAGATGAGTATCAGTCGGTTTAGAGTATCACCAGCAAACCAGAAAACAGTTTTGAAGGAGGTTTGTGTAAGGCAATAAAGGCACACATCAGCTTTTTAAACATGCAAGAGGCTCTGGGGGACCATTTCTATGTGACCAGAGAACTGTTTTATCATAACTCTCTTCAGAAAGTCCTCGTGCTTTTAACTTTACTTGTGACTGTCCTCTGCTTCATCAGGTTATATTTAGATGGATAATTCACAGCTCTTTCAAGCCATAGCTGTTTGTAGTAAAAGCAGAATTAAATTGTCTGTTTGAGACCAAGAGCTTTGTGAGAAGAATCAAGAGGCTGTGATGAAACAGCTCAGGGAGATGCCCTCCTTTCCCTGCCAGCACAGAGCTCCAGGCAGCATTTTGGGGGCTGTCCTGCACCTGCTTTCTAGGGCATCTCCTGGTCTCCATCGTGCACCCAAAATCCAGATGCCTGGGTGGATATCCACATGACTCAACCTGCATATTTTTTTTTTCCCCAATTGTTAGCTGGAATGTACTTGGAAATTATGGAATATAATGTATTTTTCAGATGCTGCTTTCTAATTAATGGGGAAGAGACTGACACCAAGGGAGCGCAGCGTGATGAGTAAGCAAGTAAATCATGCCCACCTGTGTGCGTGTGAGTTTGGTACTCAGGTGCAGGTCCCCATGCTGTGCGGGTCAGTGCTCAGCAAGCTTCCTAGGGGACCACTTTGGTCATGCCTGGGCTCGGACCTTCAGCATCCCTCCACCCTGCGGGTACCCTTAGTCATTGCAGTGCAGGGGCTGCAGGAGACTGACACGCAGCACCTAGAACCAGGGCTCAGCCTGCCTCCAGCCTTTCTGTGTGCTGCCTAGGCCAGAAATTCCCATCTGTAATGCAGGAGACAGCCTAGCTTTGCTCCCCTTTGAGTGGACACACAGTCCTCTCAATTTGCAGAGATCTCTGATGTGTTACTAACCACCAGTTTTGAGGGGAACCCGTTAGAGACATCACCAAGTGAAAAAGGTTGGCATTGCACCACTTGTAAAGTTAAAAGTCAAAAGGTTCTCCCCAGTAAAATGACAGAGCAATGCTTAAAGTAACAAGGCCTTGACATCTCCTTCCTAGTGCCATATCCTCCACCTGCTGTGGGAATGATGCTCACTCAGAGTGTATATTTTGGCTAGCAAAAATCCTGTGTGCCTTAATATTATTTATGTCTGTTTTTCTCCAGAGCACTTTTTTGTCAGAATTGTGATTTATGTTGCTTTTATTCCAGCTACGCAGGAGATTCTTTGACGGATTACAATCTCAGCAAACTCCAATTCGAGAAGAAGAATGATGGCTAAGAGACTTACACCAGACTTTTCACCATCCTGGAAAGGAACTGTCAGCCAGTATTTGGAGTTTTTTTAATACTCTACCTCCCTCTGCTGTTATCAACGAGAAGTTCCTCGACAATGGGAAATCATGTACTTGCAGCTTCAATTTCCATGCTCTCGCTCCTGGCAATGATGGGAGATGCAGACAGTAAAACAGACAGTTCTTTCATGATCGACTCCGATCCCAGCCGCTGTATGAGGCATCACTACGTTGACTCCATCAGCCATCCCCTCTACAAGTGTAGCTCGAAGGTAAGGACTTCCCTCACCCCTTCGCAGCAGGGTGCTGTGTTGGCAGAGTTATTAAAATGAGAAGTTTCGGGTGATTTTCTCTGCACAAATTCCTTACTACCAAAAGCCAGCTGCAGAGACATACAGATGTAGAGACATCTGAGTGTGTACATTAGAACCAGGGCTGGAGAGAACCACTCTTCTCACCTTTCCAAAAGGAGAAGCACATCATGATGGTAAAGCTAACATGCAGTAAACGATAAGATTCAAAGGAGGATGTTGCGGTGTCAGCCACAAGTGCCAAGGAGATGGACTAGCTTGAAAGTTTAGATCATTCCAGTCACTCCCTCCTTCAAGTGAGTCTTCAATGTGGAGCACTTAAGCTTATAACTTTCGAGATGAAGTACTGAGTTAAAGAATCAAGCTGTAAAATGGTAATGAAAAAAGAATGTGAAAAACATTGCTAATTTTTTTCCCCATTTAGTTTCAAGGCCTTTGTTTTCATGCAGAATGACACTTGGATGCTTACTGTAGGGCTGAGGAGCAGAAGGAAATACAAGACTGCCTTTCATTTGAGATTTCAAGCCTGAAAAATTTTGTGTCAAAATGGTTTAGCAGCCTGCGCGTGCAGCCTACAGTCATTTATTTCATTGTGTGGAGAAAAAGAATGGGGAGAAACAATGGGAAAATCCTTGCTGGTCCCTTCTGTCTTGTCCTAATTTGTTCCAGCTGAGTTAAGCCAGTGCATATTCAGCTGTACAGTCTCCACCTGGACCATCCCTCTGTCCTGCGGAAAGTGGCTTTGCCTTATGCACCCATCCCTGGATTAGGGAAAGGCAACAACCGCCAGTGCCAATGCTTTTGCCAGCCTTACATTGGGTAAGAGAGCGATGGGAGGCAGGTGGGAGATCAGAGGCGTTTGTCCTACTGCTCTTGAGTTCAAACAGTAAAAACTGTGCATTACTTGTGATTCAGGGGAGATCTTTTGGTTTGCTCTTAGCCTAGACTAGACCTTCTTACCTTCTGGGAAACAGCCAGCTTTAATATATAGAACTGCAAAGATGCATCTCTTTGTGCAATAATGATTTTATTGCAGTTGACTCCAGTGTGAGGCAAAGGTGAAAAGTGTGGGTGGTTTTTATGTCCTGGCAAGGGGTGCTAGCAGCCCTCCCCTCCCCAGCAATATTGCACCTGAGAAGCCATAGCTACCATGATGGTTTCGTCCATGAGGGTGATGCTCCATCCACCTGTCAGCTCTCAGCTTCCTGCACTGCCAGAGAACAGGATGAGATACGGTATGTAATGGTAGGTAGCCCCCAGAGGCCCTTTGGTCTCCAGCTTTGGGTAGGATCTCCCTCTGCCCCTCTACATGCAGAAGAACCAAATGAGTAACAAGTGGTCACTTCACCAGGGCAGTGAGAAATGCAGTGTACAACTGCCCTAGGCTCACTCCCTCAGACAAAAGAGGATAAAAACAACAGGTCCCAGACCAGGCCCTGAGGCAATTCAGCCCTGGAGGATGAAGGATGTGGCTTCTCCGGCCTGGGGCCAAAGGGTTGCTGTGTCCTGGTCTGTCCTTTCCTGCAGGCCATCATCTACCCACCACCATTCACTGGCTACAGCAGGTTCCCACAGCAGGTCTTTGCCTCCACTTGGCCCTGCATCACCACCAGCTCTCCAGTGGCCAGGCCCCCAGCCAAACCCTCCTGTCCCAGGACCAGCCGGGCACTCGCCCCAAGGCTGCTGCCCCGGCACTCCCAGCCTTGTGGTTCCACATGATCCTGCCTGTCCTGCAGCCAGCCTGTGCCTCATCTCTGGCCATGCTTTTCTTCTGTGCTAAGGGCATTGCTTCTTACACGGCAGAAGGAGGGAAGGAAGGAAGGAAGAAAGGAAAGAAGAAAGGGAGGGAGGAAGGGAGGAAGGAAGGAAGGAAACCCACCAACTACTCAACTTCTTAGCACACCTAATGACAGAGAAAAGCAATCAGGCTTTTAAGAGTGGAACTGATGGAAATGAGAACACAGAATGCATTGTAATGAAAACCATATTATTTCAAAACTGAGCTTTGAGAAAAAAGCTGTTGACATAAACATTTGTAACTCTGACTGCAAAAATGTCAGTGACTTTTTTAAAACCAAGCCTTTAATGGAAATCATGTTTGAAAATATTATCACATCTCTTGGCTTCCCAAGTTCCACAACAGTTTCAAGAAGAGTTTTTTAACAATACTGCAAGTTGTACGGACTTTCTCATGAAGTGGAAAATGAAAACAGTTTCCATACAAAGCAAAATAATTTTGACATTTCCTAGAAAACTTCTCTCTGTTTGTTAAATTAAGCTTTTTTTTTTTTTTTTTGTCTCAGGGATCTGAATCATCCTGCTAGACATATGGCTTCTGTTCTGGATCTAGCATATAAACACAGACCAATATTAGACTTGCTAATGAAAATTAGACGTAATGTCTGTTCCTATATATATTGTGATAAAATGTAAACAGGTCAAAAAAAGGAAGGTTCTGCAGGAGTAGCTGTGGGAATTGTGGTACGTCTTGTTTCCACTGAGTTTCCATCGTGAAACTTGGACCGACAATTGATGTCAAGCAGAGACTTTGCCCTTTTTTGGCTTGATATATTGGTTCCACCAAGCCATCCTTTTTCACTCCGTATGTTTTCCCTTTTAGTGCAGCATAGAATTACAGAAGTTAAAAATGGCTTCAGAAATTGCAAGACGTATTATGTTTCCTGTCCGTCTTGGTTAAAAAAGGATTGTGTCCACCGTGCTTCTCTGTGGAGGCTGCCAATTGTACCCACATGGGAAGTAGTTTTGTTACATTTGGAAACATCCACCCAATATAATTTAATCATTAAAATCCCCCCTGCTTGTGACCTCAGGCAGATGTTGAAAACAGGCTTCCAAAGCCTTTGGAAACATACTCTATTATAGTAACAGAACGTATAACAGGGACACAAAGGAGGGATGGAAGAAGGTAATTTGTTCCTCGAAAACAGTGTTTTCCTTTGACTTCAAGGAAATGTTTGTGTCAGCCCATGAGGTATTGCCTTTCCTGACCATATTGGATTCTGCCTGACGTCTGTCACGGAGACCCACTGGTCTTCCATGTGCTGGATCGCCTCATCCCTCCTAAATTACAGTATTGGCTGTCACAAGTGCTTCCTCCAGATGTGCCAGAAGTGTGCTACCACTGACAGCCTCACATTGAAGAATCCAGGCCAGAGAGACATGGACCAGACAAAGAAAGATTTAGCAAATGTTTGAAGACATTTTCTTGTGGGGTAGCTTAGGAGATTTTCAGTAATGCCTGCTCGCAGCCAGACCATGGATAGTGTGTGAAAATCTATCCTCATGAATCTCAGCCCATCTGCTTTCAGGGCTCAGCTTGTTGCCAAAGAGGACTACAAAACCTGTTAATATCAAACCAGTTCACAACTTCTGAATTTCCAGAATACAGCTCAAATGATCAGAGTCAAATATTGCCTCAAATTCAGGTTGGTTTCCTTTGTGGCCATCCAGATACCTGTGAGACTGCTGACTTTAAGTAATAAAACCTATTTTTCCCTTGCTGCTCATACCCGTGAGATACCCCATGGTTCCCACGTTGCAGCACGCTGTGCTTCCGGATCCAGCATCGCAAGGTGACAGGCACAGGCTCACATGTGCAGGGGATGATGGGAGCCAAGAGGCACGCATATCAGGTTATAAAATACCCACATGTTTTTACTATATATATACCCACTGTATTACTGTGCTATGCCATCATAGCATTGCTAATTATTTAGGCGATAATCTCTATTGTGCTATAGTATACACTGCAATAAGCAGCTGGTGCAATTGATTAAATGGCAAAGCAAAGCTTTTAAAGTACATGCTATTTCCAGCTCATTTGCACACCTGCCAAAATCTGCTGGTGCTGTTCTGGATTTATGAGGAGGAGGTAAAATTTTGCTGAGGACTTCAGGTTAGTCCAGAAGTTTAGAAAGCTATCAAAATGGGAAATCTGATTTATTTTTTTTTTTTTTAATGCTGTAGGCTTGACTTGATACCCATGGTGCAGTGCCATTTGTAAAAAATTACACTAGAATGCAAAACTAGAGCATAAACCAAACGTTCTGTAATTTTACGTGGTATGAACACTGACTGTACTCTTGTGAAAAACTAAGCAGCCAGCAAAATTGGACATTAAAATGAGAGTCTCCACAGAATAAAACATGTTTTTAAAGACAAGACTTGCTAAGCAATTATAAATGCAGTTGCACATTGAAGAAACACTGACTGTTTTTGCTTTAGAAGGCTTGCTGCTCATAAGAAATGTATTCAGACACAGATATTGGCACATCAGATAATTCTGCTCTATAATTACACTGTTGCAACTCTAAATCCTTAATCCTGTTCCTCGAGTGTTGGTTCATTTTTTTTCCCTGGCATTTTTCAAAATACCTGCAGATACAGGAGCAGATGTGTGCCATAAAAGGTCCTTAGGGTAACAGTACCAGAGTGACTACTCATTCCCGCTCCAGGAGCATCAACCATTAGAAGTCACCTCCATTGTACTGGAGGCAATGCGTGCCTTCACATTTGGGCTGAAATCACAGAATCATAGAAATGTTGGTTAGAAGGGACACTGGAGGTCCTCTGAATCTCCCAAAAAGCAGTGTGGCCACTGCCTGTCCCCTGTTGCCACTCCTGAGGAGTGTTTTGCTCTGTGGTCTTTGCAACTCCCCTTCCAGCAGTTGCCAGCTGCAGTAGGATTGCTCCTCACCTTCCCCTTCAGCCAAACGCACGGGAATAGCCTGTGACAGAGCGTGCTCACAGTCCGGTGAACTGGCCAAAGTGGGGCACCTAAAAAGAGCTGTCAAGATGCCAGGAAGGAAACGAACTTTTTAAAATGTGCCAATCTGCTGTATTTCCTTTGCAATACGGGCAGGATTAGATACCTCTGTAGCTCTTCACCAGCTGCCTGCCTGTCACTATGGGAAGTGAGTTTTGTTTACCAGGGGACAAAAGTGGATCTTTATCTGTCAGTAATGGGGTGCTAGCACTGTAATAAGTGCCCCTTTCTCTGTTCTCCTATACACTAAAGACACTGTATTATGGAGCTTGACACAGCTGATACATCTAAAGCTGGGGTATGGCTCAACAGTTCATGGAACTTTTCTTCCCACTGTATTACTACTAACAGTGGAAGTGAATTTGCACCATCACAGGAAGGGGACCATAAATTTGTGCTACAAACCATGAAGGACGGTAAATTTATTGGAGAGCCACAAGAACCCATCTTTTAATTAAACCAAGGAACAAGATGGTACCAACCTCAGATCAGCAGCTTGTGAAGACATCTTGCTTGTGATCTGTCTGTGTTGATCAAAGTGTACTTGTTAATACATTTCCAAGTAAATCATTTAGCATGCAAGTACTCTTGGAAGAGCCATTTTTAAGCACTGTACAAAGCATGTTCTTTACGGATGATCAGTGCCTTTCCCATGGACACAGGCAGTGCTGGTATTTACTACTTTATACCAGGAATATTCTCTCTGCCTTTGCTTCTCATCTTTCCTCATAACTCTGATTAAAGAGAAAATTAAACATTTGACATGCCTGCTTGCAAGACTTGGAAATTTGCAGTCAATTGATCATGTGTAGTGAAAGAAGTTCGGAAGTGTTTAATGTTGTAAAATATTTGCTGTCACATTTGTAGTTATCCTTTTATGTTGTCTGGAGATATGTGAAGCATGTTTAAAATGTAACTTTCTTCCTTGGTTAGAGGATAGACTTACGACTGTTTTACTGCTGACTTTCTCAGCTGTCACATTTTGACCTTGTTTGAATGATACAATAAGTAGATTTTGAAGTTTGTGTTGGTTAATGAGAATTAACTGATCTGGTCTTAAATAATATTTCGTTCCCCATGAAAGTATAAGAGTTTGTTTAAACTTGTCCAACATTTATCCCTTATCAAGGTGATGACAGTTGTTTCTATCCACGTGATTTCCTGAGCTACAGAAGATCACTTACGTGTTTCATATAGAGCTTAGGAGACTCTATCCCTCTCCTCTGCTCAACAAGGGGTTGTTGGGAAGGGGAGTAGGTGACCCCCATGGGCTTTCCTTCCTTAGCGTCTCCTGTTGTGCAAGTTACCTTACTCTGGTCACAACTCAGTTGGTGAACTCAGGAGGAGGAGAAACATCGAGCCTGCTCTGCTTTTGGAAGAGCTCACTAGTGAACCCTCGTGTTTGGCAAGGAGTTCATCTTGTTTACATTTTCACTGCCTTACACTATGCAGCGCATTTTATAAATATACAACTGATGCGATTATACATATATACACACTTATAATTGAAAATGTATAGAATCATAGAATCATAGAATCATAGAATCATAGAATGGTTTAGGTTGGAAAGGACCTTGAAGATCATCGAGTTCCAACCTCCCTGCCATGGGCAGGGACACCTCCGACTAGACCAGATTGCCCAAGGCCACGTCCAGCAATGTGATCTTTGTAGAAGGAGAGAGCTAGAAACTTATTTCTTGAGAAGCAATAAACTGAGCATCTTCTTTATATTTCTACTTCATATGTTTATATATCTCAACATTTCAGACATTCACTGGCCCCGAGGATCGGTTTTGCTGATCACTCGTATATATACCCAAAACGTTGGAAAACGTCCAACCAAAGTATCAGTCTGGCTGATGATTTAAGCGCTTGGCTGCCACAAATCTGGGGTCAGCAAATCACAGTTGCAGTCATCATGCCTGGAAAACAGCGCTGGCTGTGATGATTTGGAGCCCTGAGGTCAGCTTTCAGAAACCCAGGCCCTGTAGTTCTTAATGGTGTTGGTGCCTGGGAATCTGGGAGGACGCCCTCTTTTCCTCCTGCCCATGTCACCTTCTCCACTCTCTCAGACACAGCTCGGGGGCAATGCACTCTGTGGGGCTTGGTGCCCTCGCTGAAGTGGGGAGATGCAGTAAGTGAAGAAAGATCAGCCAGACTGGAAGGATGTGCCCATCCACCGTTGTTAGCTGTGCGCCAGCAGCCACAGGGGCAGGTTTCCTAATCCTTCTCTTTTCCTTTGTAGATGGTGCTGCTGGCTCGCTGTGAAGGGCGCTGCAGCCAGACGTCACGTTCGGAGCCCATGGTTTCTTTCAGCACTGTCCTGAAGCAACCTTTTCGCTCCACCTGCCACTGCTGCCGGCCCCAGACCTCCAAGCTGAAGGCCATGCGGTTGAGATGCTCAGGGGGCATGCGGCTCACTGCCACCTACCGCTACATCCTCTCCTGCCACTGCGAGGAGTGCAACTCCTAGGGACGTACCTGCCACAGCATTGGGGGGGACCAGGATGCTTCTATCAGGGAAGGCTCCCAACAATTCACCTGAGGCGACGCCGATGCTCCCAGCGTACGATTGCAGCGAGGACAGGAATAACCAGGCTGGACTGGATCTGAGAGCCGAAGCGTAAAATAGCCTGGGGCCCTGGATGGTGTCGATACCGAAGTGTGGGCTGTGACAAAGGCAAAAGCACGAAGGCTTGGTTTTAAGAAGCCTTTCTTTTGTTCTGAAAGGATACTGTTGTGAGTTTCTTCTTTTTCAGGCTCAGCTCTGACTACAGACAGGTGCTTTTACTTTCGGCCAAGGGCAGCAGGGGAAAAAAAGAGGAAGGTCAGCTGGATGACAGCACTGCGCTCTGGGAGTTGGCATTCGGACAGCAGATGGGCATCAGTTCCCACAAACCACCTCTTAACCTATCAATTTATTCTCAGTCTTCTAGTTATATTGGCCTTCAAAATAAACTGTGTTGTTGGCAAGGGTTATCTGTTACTGATCTAGCAGCCAAGCGCTGGATAACTTCAACTGCGGTTTAGCAGAAATTGCAAATAAATCATTGAAAAGTGAACAGGATATGAAATGTAGAGCTGGGACTACCCAGCCCTAGCCAGCTGAAGTGATTATTTGCAGCATGTAGCATCACAGTCCAGTGGCTGAGCAACTCTTGAGAAGTGAAAGGTCATGAGACTCATTATTTCCCTCTAAAAGCCTGGGAATGTGACACATCACATCTGTCACTAAAGCCATTATTCAAACACTAAAAACTAATCAAAGATTAAAATGACACATACTAAATGGACTCTTTTCTTAACTTGGGTAGACCTGTTGATGTACAGAACCAGAGCCACCAGAATAATGACCAAACCTAGGACTTATTTTTATCTATGGCTCTGAGGCCATTGAGTGAGTACCATTTTGCCTTTTAAAGACAGGTGACTCAAGACACAGGGGAATCACACTGACGTGCCTATAGGAAGTTTAAGGCAGAGTCTGAGCGCCAGCATTATCCATTGGACCACAAAGTCTGTGTTTTGATTTACCTAATGATCTGCTACCTGGGGTCCTCATTGACTCACCATCCAGCTTGGCAGCTGCTCAGGGAATCGCACAGCTCTTGGCTGGGCCATATGCCTGTGAGTCTTTTGTGCACTCACGAGGATGTAGGAGGCTGTGGCAAGGTTAGCATGAGCCCAGACCTCACCCATAGTTGAAGCTGTCCCACAGCCAGGGCATCAGAGCTTCGGGGTCCTGCAGAGCAGGTGTAGTCAGCACTTCTCTGTAAGAAGCAAGTGAGGCTATTAGCTGCTTTCCCCTGTGGGACCACTGCAGAAAGAAATGATGAATGAATTGCACTCATTGATACGGTGAAAATATCTCAAAATAACAAAGGATCACAAGTTTTGAAATCGTATTTGTGGAGAAACTGTCCCTCCTCCATTAACCTGAGGTTTTAGGAAGGTTCAGTCATAGTCTCTTGTGACTGCAAGGAAACAACATAACATATTACAGTTCTCATCTCCTTAAATGGCAGTATATTCAGTCAGTCAGCAATATGTCTGTGATGTTCACATAAACCTGGGTAAGACATTTTTGATAGAAATCATAAAGGTGTCAGAAGTATCTTTGCTGTGCAGGGATTCAGAGTCAGTGCAGCTTCTACCCCTTGGTGGCATCTGCATGCGTAGTCCCACAGTTATTCTGTGGGACAGGATGGAGCAGCTCCCCTGCACAGCAATGTCTGGTGGGGTCTCATGGTACTGAGAAGTCATAGAATCATAGAATCGTTTTGGTTGGAAGAGATGGTGGGAAGGATCATCAAGTCCAACCATTAACCTAGCACTGCCAAGTAACAACTAAGTCCTGTCCAAGTCCAGTTTTTGGCCCATCTGTTCAGTGCCCCCCAGTCTGTTTGCAGCAAATGCCGTAGGCAGCAGCTCGGGAACACACAATGACATTGCAGGGGGTCCCCGAGGTCTGCCAGGGAGGGCAGTTGTCCCGTGGTCTACACAGGAGTTACTGTGGCAGCTTGGGCAAAGCCAGATTCCTTTGCCACTGCATCCTCATGGCGAATATGTATGGGATGTGAAGGCAGGCAGGTGACAAACACTGGCCTTGCAAGCCAAATTCTGGACCTCGGTGGCTGTCAGTCAGAAGTGGAAAACAACAGGGGACAAGTACACCTGCAGACACTGGCTGGAGAGTTTCATGGTACATGGGAAGGACTGTCTCCGTCTTCCAGAGATGACTGGGAGGTGGCCAGTTTCCAACCACACAGAGCTGTGGGAAAACAAAAGGGTGAATCAAACTGTTAGAAGCTGATGGGCTCAGATTAAAATGTCAAAACCAGGAGTGATGAGCCCCAATGAGCTCATTAGACACTACTGGTTGTTTCAGTGCTGTCAGTCATTCTTTTCACATCTGATGCATGGTCTGAACATCAAAGGGCGAGAAACGGGAGCATGAGCCTGGCATTATCACCAGACTACTTTATATGAAAGATCATATGTGCGTCCCTTTTCCAATCTCTTTCAACCTTCAGCATCTAAAAATCCCATTATCCAAAAAAGCACCACCCCCTGCTGTTAATTATATATAGAAAAATCCAGTCCTTATCCGAAACATCAGCAATACCTTTGATAACCAAATAACTATACAACAAAATATGTGTGACCTCTAAGCGTGGGTATAGGGCCTGCCGCACACAAGCAATGCTATGCTGTTATTTAAGGGACGGGGAATGTTTTAAGGGTAACTGCTATATCCAGCGTCACACCCCCGCCTCCGGTTGTGCTGCCGCTGGCCTTTTCTGCTGGTGTAAAATGGGATGCCGGGGGGCATGACACAAAATTTGGGTGACAATTTGCAGCGCTTCTGCACGGCTGCGGGATGCAGCAGAGTAGCGTGAACCCGATCACAGTCCTTTGGTGAAGAGAGAGAAGGGGTTTGAGCAGAGACCATGCCTGAGCCAATTTAGAAAATCAGAGAATATTTATAGTGAGAGAAGAGCGTGGCTGGTATTTATTCCCACATCCCCTCCTTATCACAGTGCCAGAGTTATAATTGCTCAAATCAGTCTCACAGAAGATATTCGTGTTTCAACAAAAGCTTTTTTTTTTTACGTATCACACCCCACATTCCTTCCACTTTTGCTGGGTTCCTCTAATGAAATCATCGCCTTGTGACCACAAAGGCTGTTGCCAGGCATAAATGTTGAGGCGAATTCAACATTATCTAATTTAACTGTTGAGTCAAATAAATGCATGGAAGGAATATAACAGAAATTATGACTGACAAGACAAAACATACTTGTAAATAGCTAGAACTGGATATTAAACAATGAATCAAACTTTCAAATTCTCCTTTTGGCTTTGTCAGGCAGTCTTCATATTAACATGTAAGAAAAGGAGGTGCTATCCTTCAAAACCAAATGTCCTGAAAGTCAGTTATAAATCCATATTTTGATACTTTTTTATCAGTATTTTAGGCCACTAAGTGCTGAATGAAGCACACAAGTGCTACTCGTCAAAATTCAGGAAGCGTATTAAAGGAAAAGAAAATGAGGCTTCAGGTAAAAACAACAGGATAGGGCTTATGGTGAGAAAGAGTCTAAATGATGCTTAGAGATTTACTAGCCTGACACCACTCCGGGATAATTAAGCCTGTTTTTCAAGTCAGAATACCATGTAAGTGTTTCTTAAATTGAACAACAGGGATGGCAATGTCCAGTTGTCCAGATAATGTTGCGGGGCTTTGTCTTTGCTAAAGCACCCTCTCACTGGGACTCCAATGAGAAGGCTTTCTCCTTTTTTCCCCTCACTGCACTCTCAGGCACCATCTTCCCTCACAGAAAGGCTGGTTCAGCTGTGACCATCCTGTGGTTTGCTCAAGATGAGATGTTATACAGATTTTTGACTGTCGCCATCCTCTGCCCTCTTTTCTTTTGATTAAGTTTCTGAGTCCAGCTTGGCTTACTTTTGAAGCCACCCATCCCAGCAAGTGGTAGTGTTACATTTCAGATGGAGGGATTGCACTCATGGAGACTAGGCAGAAACACTAGTCCTTTGCTGGTACACTTTGCTTGTAAGAAAAGCCTCATAATGCCAATGCATTTTGTGCCTATCAGAAGTAATCTGTGATTTTCCAGAGTAAAAGAGCCCACGTTAACAAATTTTAATTATTCCGCTCCCAGCTGCAGTGGGTCTGTTAAGTGCTTAAAGCTGCCTAGACATAAAAATGATTTACTGGTTCAAGCCTTATATGAGTCATTAAACTGAAGAGCTCACTGCTTTCTTGGAGGTGTCCCCACTGACTTTCCTTACGTCTCACCTTGCCCTCTGAGCTTGGAGAACTTTTACCAGACAATTGGTCCTGAGCCTGGCTGTCTCCTTGGTGGCCTTTATCAGGGCTTTTGTAAGTTACTGTCACAGTGCTCCTGGCGATAATGGAGAGATAAAGTTCAATGACGTCCATGGTACACCACAGCCTGCGCTGGGCCTTCACGTACGTGAGCCTTAGTTGATACCCATTCACCAAGTCCTTGAGTATCTACCATGAAGCCCTGAAACTCAAATAGAAATGTGAAGATTGCAGCCAGAATATTTTTGTGAAAGAGGAGATAAATAAAAGATGGGAGGTTACTGTCTCAGTAATAGTTTGATGCTCTGCTGCTTTGTGTGTCTTGCCTCAGTTCTTAGGGTCTGATATGAAAAAAGAGATGCTCCTGAGCTCTCTTTTATGAGTGAGTGGTTTTTCAGTGCCTATTCCTACATGTTTAAAGACAGTGGTTTCTTACGAAATTTGTCTGAAATGGGATTAAACCCTCTAGGAAAAACAGTTCTGCTTAGCAAGGAATTTTTCCTTTGACTTGGGCCATGAGTATTTTTGAAAAATCCAAATGCCATTAAAAAGGTCAGGGAGGGTGAGTCTTACTTTCTTTGACTCTGTAGTTATTTAAAATACAAGGGCTGTGGAAAAAGAATAAAAGATTCTATCCAGGATACAAGTGACTGACAGCCTTCTAAACCAGATTGTGTTATAGCTAACAGGAATTGAGACAGATACTCCTATTGGAAAGTAGCAGCCCTGGAAGTTTACTGTGTTGCTCAAGTACAAATAAGTTGGTTGGAAATCTAAACAGCGAGTCTAACCCTTCTATTT